TCCCAGGGGCTTGGGAGGCTGGGGCAGGAGGATCGTGAGTTCAAAGCCAGCCTCAGCAACGGCGAGGTGCTATAAGCAACTCGATGAGACCCTGTCTCTAAATAAAATACAAAATAGGGCTGGGGATGTGGGTCGGTGGTCAAGTGCCCCTGAGTTCAATCCCCGGTACAAAAAAAGAAAAAATCCAGAATTTAAACCCACTTCTCACTACCTCTGCTACATCACCCGGTCCCGGCGCACACACCATCCTCTGGAGGCCTCTCACTTGCTATTTCCACTGCTACGACCCCCGCAGGGTCTGCCTATGGGTCTGTCCCTCTTCCAGAAAAGGAGCACCTGGAGAGCGGGGGTCCACTTAATTCATCTCAATATATTAATCCCACCCTCGACACAGTGGTGCACTGCTCGGTGCAGTCTGCTGGAACTCAGCTTTCCCGCTGCTCCACTCTGTCGCTGCCCAGCTTCGGGCCGGTGCACGCTCCAGTGCCGGCCCCTGGACACACCGCGCGACGCCAGGTTCCCCACCCGCCTTCGTCCAGGCCCCGCCTCACCCGTCCCTCCCGAGGTTCCAGCGAAGGCCGTTCCACTCCCGCACTCACTTGTCCTCGTTGTCTGACATGACGCCCTTTGTTCAGTGACCCAGGCCCCTGTCCTGACCCGCGCGCAGAGCCACAAGTAGCGACCCTCCGCCCAGCGTGTTACCCGCGTATCCTGCGCCTGCGCCTGCGCCTGCGCCTGCGCCGTGACCCCGAGGAAACCACTTCCGGGAAGCCGGAGGCGCGGCAGAAATGCGCACGCGCCGCGTGGGCTGCTGGTTACCATAGTAACCAGAGCCGCTGGCTGCGGCACTCGTGCCTGGAATTCCGCAGCTTTTGTGCCCGGCGCCCGCAGTGGTCACTCGGAGCCCGCCAGCCGCTCTGCCTGAGGAGGGGACACCAGCGGGGGCCTAACAGTAGGGTGAGGTTTCAGTTTTATCCTGTCACCCAATGGGGACCTCGGCTATCTTAAAGATGTGTCCTCCCGAGGGGATTCACCTGCCGCAGGCACCGGCGGTCAGGATAAGGGCTCTGTTATCTAGCTTGGGTAGAGGTTAGGGGATTGGCCCTGTCGCAGTATTAACTTGGGTGTCCCAGTTGACCCCACTCCCAGAGGGTGGGGGTGAAGGAGCAGAGATTGGGACTGGGAAACAGGGGGTGTGCGCGTGTGTCTTTCTCTTCTAGGCCCTGCCGTGGCCTCACAGAACAGAATGGAGGCAGTGACCAAAGAACCAGCGTTCCGGCGCTGCCCCAAGTCGGCTGCTTATACCCCAGAGACCTGCAAGCTGCTCAAAGGTGAGTGTGTTAAGAGGACACAGGTCGGGGAGCAGCAGTAGCAGTTACCCTGTGTAACTCTGTTCTCCTCTACTCTACATGACCTGTGGCTGGGGGACACAGTGGCTATTCTCTTACGAACAAGGATCCTGGGGTTCAGAAAGGTTCAGTGTGCTATTGCTGACCAGGAGCTAAAAGTCAAAGAAATAAGAATTTTGGAGTAGTTTATTTCTATGCATTCTTTACCTCCCACTCTCAGTGTTCCCCAGGAATCCTTATCTCCTCCCCATACCACCACAGTGGGACCAGTGGTTAAGTGCCCTCAAAGAACCCAATCTCCCTACACAACCTATAGCTAGATATTTAGTGTCCCATGTATACCTCTAGATAGTGGATTCCATCAGGCAGGGAGTGTGTCAGTTTCTGCTCACAGTTGTAGCTCTAGCCCCTGACACATGATCGAACAAGTATTCATTCACTCCACAACAACAAAATGTTTAAGCCTACTCTGTACTTTGGGCACTGTTCTAGATGGGGATATAGCAGTAAAAAAAAAAAAAAAAAAAAAAAAGCTGTAAAAAAATTCTTGCTCTTATAGAGCTAAGAGTTTAGTAGCATAATAAATAATAAAATTTAGGACTAGGGTGTAGTTCAGTGGTAGGGCATGTGCTTAGTATGTACAAGGCCCTGGTTTTGATCCCTAGCATGTACACACAGGTGTGCATACCACACACACAAAACCTAGCCATTGCCTGGAGATGTAGCTCAGTAGTAGAGCCCTTGTCTGGAATACACAAGCCCTGGGTTCAATCTCCAGTACTGAAACAAATTAAAAAAAAAACAGCCAGAGCCAAGCATGGTACCACACACCTGTAATCCCAGCCCTCAAGTGGCTGAGGCAGGAGGATTGTAGGTTGAGGCAGCCTTGGACAACTTAATAAGACCCTGCCTCAAAAATAAAAACAGGGGCTGGGGTTGTGGCTCAGAGGTGGAGTGCTTACCTAGCATGTGTGAGGCACTGGGTTCAATTCTCAGCACCACAAAAAGTAAAATAAAGACATCGTGTCCACCTGTAACTAAAAAATAAATGTGAAAAAAAATAAAAGTAAAAACAGGGATGCAGCTCAGTGGTAGAAGAGCCCAGGGTTCAATCCCCAGTACCACAAGAGAAGAAAATGGAGCAAGAAAGGGAGGGGGGCAGGGGCTGGGGCTGGGGCTCAGCAGTAGAGCATCTGCCTAGCACATGCCAGGCCCTGGGTTCGATCCCCAGCACCACATAAAGATAAATAAAATAATGGTGTTGTGTCCAGCTACAACTAAAAGAAAAATTAAATGAACATAAAAAGAGGGAGAGTGCAGTGCAGAATGGAGTAGGAGAAGATACAGTTGCAGTATACAGTGAAATCATCTGCTGCAGCTCAGCCTCATGCAAGTGCTTTATTTTGCAGAGATGATGAAGGAATCCAAACTAACCAGCTTCCAGCAGCGCTACCTCACGGACACTATGAGAAGTAAGAGGTGTTCAGTCCACAGAAGCTTCCTGGGTGGAGGGATTGGGGACACTCCCCCTTCCTCCTCACCCCCAGTATTGGGGACTGAAACCAGAGTCTCACAAAGTTACTGAGGCTGGCTTCAGATTTGTGATTCTCCTGCCTCAGCCTCCTGAGTTGCTGGGATTCCATGCACCACCACACCTGGCTTGGGGCCACATTTTTAAAGCTCCTCCATGTTAAGGGGGACAGAATCTCATTTTAAAAGGAAAAAAAAAATGAATACATAGTATTCCTGACCCCTAGTCCTTGGGAATTGACCTTTTGTGTGGCCTTTGCTACTTTTGACATGAGTCAGGCACACTAAGCCCCTTACAGGCAGGCTGTCACTGACCTTCCTAAGAAACTGTGGCCTAAGCAAGACTCCCTTCCCATCCACAACAGCCTCAGCCCTGGGGTGTCTGCAGTCTGCATGTCTGAGGCAGGAGGATCAAATTCAAGGCCAGCCTGAACAATTTAGCAAGACCCTCTCAAAATAAAAAGGGCTGGGGATATAGCTGATGGGTACAGCTCTCCTGGGGAGAGAGAGGTGGGGGGACATGCCAGAAGGTCCAAGCTTGCAGAATTTTGCTTGATCTACCAAAATTGTCGCCTTCTCTAAAGATGACGAGGGCACCCAATCCCCCTCACAAGCAAAGAGGAATTTCAGAGGCAAATATGGACAGGGAAGCTCTGTTCACCAAGTCAGGGGTAAGATCTCCTTCCTCACTGTGGACAAGGACAACTGAGACTGCCAAAGGCTAGTGCCATCACATGTTTCAGTCACATAACCTCCACATGCAGCAGTCTGATAGTATGGTGTCTCCTGTTAGCATAACCATAGAGAATGTGCTAGAAGTCCCACTGAAAGTCAATACTGGCAGACCAAAGACTGTCTCCTTTGTTCAGCACGGTAACCCAGCACCTAGGGCAGGAGCATGATTCGTACTGAACTGCTGGTTACATCAGTGGTTGGCCAACACAAGTGACTGCTTTGCCTAGCAGCCTCGTTCTCCTTAGATGTTTTATTTTTAAAAATTTGCCTTCAAGTCTGGGTGTTGAGCCTGGCTTCTCTTAGAGTTCCTCCCCGACTTTTCTTCTCCTAACCAAATCCTACCAGTTGCTTTGGGCCTTAGTTCAAATACTGCTGCAAGCCACAAATCCCTCCCCTCACTGGAAGGCCAGAATTCCTTAGGCCATAAATTTTTGTTGAGAAGGGGCCAAAGGAAGAGGTTGAACTGGAGAGTGGGAGGTGTGAAGGACACACTGGGAATCAGCGTTTCTTCAGGAAAAAGAAAAAGACGTGTAGAGGCTAGAGCCCTGGGTAGAGGGCCTGGGAAGGGAAGGTCTGTCCTTGCACTTTTGGGAGTTATCCTCGACTCCCCTTTCTCCCAAACCCCACATCCGCCCTTTCTACAGGACCTTCAAACCATGTCCTGACCACCCCTCCCACCTCCTCGCTGGCCGCCATGGCTGCACACTACCTGAGTGGCTCCCAGCTGCCCTTCCTCCCAGCCCTTAGCCCTGGGCTTCAGATTTTCAACAGCAGCCATAGAGGGCATGTCTTTTTCTCAGAACCCTCCACTGGGCTGGGGCTGGGGGTCAGCAGTAGAGCACTTGTCTAGCACGTGTGAGGCACTGGGTTCAATCCTCAGCACCACAGGAAAATAAATAAAGGCATGCTGTCCATCTACAACTAAAAAAAAAAAAAAATGGGGTGGAGGAGAGAAGGGGCCCAGTGACCAGATAGGAGAGACACTTGGATGGCCTGGGGGAGGAGCCCAGGCATGGGGCAACAGGGGGGATGTATAGCAGGTGGCATTTGTGTCTATTACCATCCAAACTGTTCCCACTAGTACGTGGACCAAGCAAAGAGAAAACAGAAATAAAAACACCAGGACAAAGACGCAGTGTACAGAGTGTTTATTGCAGCATCGTTTGTAGTAGTAAAAAACCAACCAACAGAAAACCTGGAAACAAGTTGAACTTCCAAAAGTAGGAGACTAACTGAATAAATAAGGTAACCATTCTAACGACTAGTATATAGCTATAAAAAATAAGTTATATATAAACAGATTTTTCTGGAAAGATGTCCACAATAAATGGTTATGTGAAAAGGGACTGTTATTGACTATTATACAATATGATCCAGTGTTTGAAAAAAGAATCTTATGTGCACATGAAAAATATATGCACACATCTTTGAGCATGTTTATATAAGCGTCAAAAAGCAAAGAGACCACCAAATTGTTCCCACCGCTCACTGTAGAGGGGTGGGCTTAGTGGGGATAAGAAGATTCTGCTGCACCATTTGACTAGTAAGATGAAGGAAAAAAAAAAGCCACAAGACCCTTCCACCCCCAGGAGGAGACCCTTTGCCCCTACAGTGCAGTCCGACATCCAGCCAGCAAGGCTCACCTTCCAAACAGCTGCCACCAGCCACCCACCTGCCTCCTGCCCTGGCAGCCCGGTCTCGCCTCCGGCCTGCCAGCATGTGCCAAGCCAACGGGGCCTACAGCCGTGAGCAGTTCAAGCCTCGAGCCACCAGTGAGTTGAAGCCACCCACCTTGGTTGGGGACTTTCCTCTGGGGACGGGGTGGGGGCGTATCTGGAGACTATCTCAACTTGACAAGCTCAGGAGCACCCAGGAGGGAGGCTGCTGGGTCTGCACACCTGTCCCTTGCCAGACAGGCTGCAGCTCGATGCGTGCCCACCTGAACATGCAACCGGAGAGAGCTTTACGCCTCAACTTGGCCATTTGGGGGCCCTACAGGAGATCTGGAAAAGGAGAAGCAAAGACTCCAAACTATCTTTGCCACCGGGAAGGACCTGGCAGAATGGAAAAGAAAGGCAGCCCCTGTGCCGCAGCAGGACCCAGCTCCTGAGCCTGACCGCTTTGAAGAACGTGAGCCACTGGGGCAGGGGCAGAACCACTCCTCCGCCACTACACCCCCTTCATAGAGCCCCCTGCCCTGACACCCCTTCTCCTCTGTCTAGTTGTGAAGGAAATCCAGGAGAGGAAGGAATTCCTGGATGCCATGGAGGCCCTGGGGCAGGGCAAGAAGTACCAAGGGATCATCCTGGCTGAAATCTCCCAGGTAGGAGGAGCCAGGAAAGCGGGCAGGGGCGGGCCCAGAGGGCGGAGTCAGAGTGAGGAGAAACCCCAGTCTCAGGAGTTGAGCCACAACTCATCCTGATGCTCCTCAAGTTCTTAACCTGATACCAACTTCCCCTGCTGCCCTTTGCAGAAACTACGGGAAATGGAAGACATCGACCGCAGAAGGAGTGAGGAACTTAGGAAGGCTCTTGCCACCACTTAGTCAGAGCGGCAGCGCAGCTCACTAACGCCGCAGCCCGCCCCTGTGCCAACCATGTCATCCAGGCCAGCCACTCATGTCAGATGGCTGCCCAGCATGGCACTGTCATAGACTGCAGATGCTGCTCAGGGATGCTGGGGACCACGGGTGGGGTCTCAGAGCCACCCAATGACAGGGCTTCAAGTCTTCTGGGGACAGACACAGCAACAGTGAAGGCCCAAGTCTCACCACCTTGGAAGTGCGTCTGAGGGCATCTGTGGCTCTCTTCCCACCACCTCCAGCTCCTGTTCCTGCTCAGGTGGTTTCTAGACTTGGGGATGAAGACGAGCCTTCCCTCCCGCCTGTCTTAGGATCTACTTATTTGATGACTTAAAGCCTTGGCAAATATTTAACAACAGTGATTAATTGGCCAATAAAACACATTTAACGTGGGTCATTACACGTACCACCTTGTTTTCACAGGGATAACGCTTATTTGCACAGAGTTAGACTTTGTCCAACATGGACGGTTTCTAGTTGCCTGTTTGCACATTTCAAGAGGAAATGGGACTGACACTCTTGAGTACCCCATGGCCAGTAGCCATGGCAGGTGAACTTCAGTAAATGATCTCAACAGACGGCGTGAGGCTTCATCACCCCTTGGGAAAACTAAGGTTCAAGGGCGTTTTTAACTAGTGAACAGCCTTCTCAGGATTAAAAGTTACTTTAGGTCTAAATACAGACCAGAGCAGCAGCACACAGGGGTGAGAGGGACCCACGCTGACAGTGCACCTGGCTTTGGAGTTCCAGCTCTGGCACACGCCATGTCTCCTTGTGCGCCCACGGCCTCAGCTCTGTTCCTGTATGTGGCTGGTCCTGGGCTGAAGGGTGGCTGAACAGTCACTTGACAGGAAAGCACACCCTGGCCTGGCAACACAGCATATTAGTCCCACACCTTGGGCTCCTGACACTCACAGGTCTCCTCCTCTAGTGTTCTGTCTTTTCCTAACCCCCCCGCAAAAAAACCCTGCCTGCTGTCCCCCACACCTCGAAGGAATCATAATCCTATCAGGTCACACAACCCATGTTTTGTGTGCACAATAAACCTTGGCTGTGCAGCAACCAACAAGAGCAGGCTCAGGAACCCTCCTGGGAAGCCTGTGTCCACACCCACAAGAGCCCAGAGCAGAAGCTGCAGTAGGACAGTACCTCCACTCACAGGCCACCGTCACATGACCCAGAGGCAGCAAAACAGAGAACCAGGGAAAATTCAGGCCAGCCCAACAAGTTCAGACCGGGCGTTCACAAATCACACACATACGAAATCTGTATCCCCAGTTTCTTTTGAAAAATGGAAAAGACTTGGCAACCCTGGGTCCACGTTCATTCCCACAGGCTACAGTGGACTACAGTGGGGGGCCCTAACGCTGGCAGAGTCTCCTAGTCTACACCCGACCCAGGTCAAGTGTGTTACCTGCCTGGTTCCTGAAAGGCCTTAAGGTGGTGACCTCGGCCCAAGGTCAACAGGCACATTCAGCAAGAGACTGCCAGAGGCTGCCCAGGTGTGGAGAGGAAGGGAATCCTGCCCAGGGACAGGCGATGAGGGCCAAGGTCCCACTCAGTGGACAACCTCAGCATGGTCCCAGACCCTCCAAGGCAGGCAGAGATACCTGGCCATGGAAGTGGGGCAGAGGCAGACAAGAAGGCAAATGTGGCCATGGCCTGAGGCTGTCCCCATTGAATGTTGTTGAGGAATGTCCCCAAGTTAATACAGTGCGATCTTGTCCCCCAAGTGCATGGAGGAGGGGGCCTGGAGGCCCCCAGAGCTTATGACACAGTGTTTTGACCAAGAGCTGCCAGGCACATTCCCTGGGCAAAAGTGACATCCCCATCACTTGTCCCCACCCACAGGGGACCGGTGGCCATCAGTCCTCAAGTGGAAATGAGTTGGGGAGAGGACAGACAACAAAGGAGACGGATGGGTGATGACCACAGAGGGGAGCGGGCCCCAGGCCCTGGGTGGGGAGGAAGCCTCGGTCAGGTCAGCACCTACCTGAGCACCCTCCCTAGGCTGATGCACGGGGACAGAGCTCTGACTGGGTGGCCTCCAGAGGCCATGCCCAGGGGACTCGGCACTGGGGCAGCTAACAGGAGCACCCACCTGCCCCAGCATGGCCACCAGGGCACTGTGGCGTCTGGGAAGTAAGTCTTCCCACAGAACAGGGGAGGGGAGGGAGAACCTCCTCCAGCTCGGAGGCAGGGGAGCTGGGATCTGCCCAGCACAGACCACTCAGGAACTCATTTGAACTTAACTGCAGACTTGATAAATAGAGCTCCTGAGCAAGGTGACATGAGATTCTGGGCACCTGCACTGGACAGAAAGACAGACTCAGGCTGGGCAGGAGGCGGCCAGCACAGCCCGTCCCGCTCCGGCCCGTTAGTGGGGCAGAGCTAGGCCAGCGCCTACAGAGAAGGGAGGGGAGGCCGAGGAGCTGCCCCGCCATGGCAGGGACCATGGAGCGAGCGGGTGGGTGTGCGTGGCCACTGCCCCTCCCTGCACCTGGAGGCCCTGCTTGCCTTTGGGTCTGTCTCAGCATCTGGAATCCTCAGATCTGACTGGGCAGGGCTGGGTCACAGCTGTCTGGAGTGCAGAGAAGAGGGAGGGAAACTCTTTGGCCCAGACAGACGGAGACCTCAGTGAGGGAGGCTCACCCAGAGACACCCTCCCCTTGAGTCACCTTCCCCCTTGACTGATCCACGGCAGCAGGGGGCTCCCTCCAGCCCATGAGGATCCAGGAGGAGACAGTCCCAGCAGCTTCCCTCACTGTCAGCTCTTGTCCCCAGGGGACTTGCTCTTTGTGTCACGCTTATTTCCCAGCAGCTTCAGCATCTTCATGGTCTTGAACTTCCCCTTTTTCTTGCCCTCGGGTTCAGCCTCCCTCTGGAACTCTGAGCAGAGAAAGGGAAAGATTTGACTCGGGGGAGTCCATCCGGGGCAGGGGCAGGCTGGGGTGAGTGACTTGTGTCACTGACCAGGTGTGTGGCCAGCAGGACAGCCCCACACCAGCCTGTGTGAAACCGGGCAGTCACTTCACCATCCCAGGCCTCCCTCATTCCCTAGAGGTTAGGGATCCTCCTTGCCCGGTGTCTTGGCAAGGACCACAAGGACAATCTGGGTGCCCTGTCACTTCAGCTACACGGGCTCACGACTCTGTGAGCTGTAACACCAGCACCAACCCTCAGAGCAAGAGGAAACTCCGGAAATGATCTCTCCCAGCTCAAGAGTTTTAGTCTCTGAGATGAGCCAATCCCAGCTGAGCTTTTGTGGGTGCCAGGCCCCAGGCTAAGGGCTCCCCACCTGCTCCCCCTGTGATCCTCAGCAGTGCCAGGGAGGCAGCGCTTGGTACCCCGTTCTGCAGATTCAGAATGCCAGAGCTTGGACTGCATCCAAGCAGCCTGACTCCAGCCCAAGTGGGGACAGTGAGCGGCTGGTGGAGCTAAGACCAAACCAGACCAGCTTGCAGGCCCAGGCTTCCTGCCGTTCCAGGCACTGTCTGATGCTGTTTGGGCCCACACACCCCACACACACCAGCTTGCAGACCAGGAAGGAGACACCCAAGGGCAACCCATCCTGGGGCTGGAACTGTCCCCCACACACCAGCCCTCCACACGTGGCTTCTGGCTGTCGGCTGGCCTACCTTGCTCCAGCGGCCTCTCAACAGAGACTGAGTCTGCACACCCACTCCTGCTGGACTGCACCAGCTCCCCCCCGCCCCTCTCCTTCCACCCACAGGCTGAAAGCAGGAGTTGAAGAGGGAAGAGGCCCAGAACCAGAACTGTCCTCCCCTGGGGACAGGCTTCACCTTACTCCTTTACTATTTGACTCATTCTTGCAGCACTGGGGTCAAATCCGGGGCCTGTGCATGCGAGGCAAGCAGCTCTACCACGGCTACACCCCACCCCTTTTCATTTAAGTTTTTAAAAAATGTTTGGTACCAGGGATTGAACCCAGAGGCGCTTAACCACTGAGCCACACCCACAGCCTTCTATTTTTTATTTTGAGACAGGGTCTCGCTAAGTTGCTTAGGGCCTTGTGAAGTTGCTAAGGCTGGCCTCAAACCTCCCAAGCACCTGGGATTACAGGTGTGCACCCCCATGCATGGCTTAACTTTATTTTGAGATGGGGTCTAAGTTGCCCAGGCTGGCCTTGAACTTGAGATCCTCCTGTTTCAGCTTCCCAAGGAGCTGAGGGCTACAGGTGTGCCCAACAGGCCCAGCCTCACCTTTCTTCTTGATCATGGCTTCCAACATCTTGTCTTCCTCTTCTTCTCTGAAATGAGTAAAGGAAGCTGAGCACCCACAGGAGGAAGGACCGTGTCATGGTTTGGGTCCACAGTGTGTCCCCAAAGCCTTGAGTTGGAAGCATGGTCCCTGGCAGCAAGGTTCAGGCTGGGCCTCTTAGGCAGTGACTGGGTCACAAAGGCTCTGACCTCACCATCATGGATTAATCCACGGATGCTCGGAGGCAGGAGGAAGTGGTTGGAGGAAGCAGGCCCTGGGGCATAGGGCGTCGGGCAGGACTCATCCTCTTCCCACCTCTTGCCCTCCCTGCTCCCCAACGCCAGCCCTTCTGCCAGGATGTTCTGCCTCATCCGAGGCTGGGGCAGTGGAATCTGCTGAACTGAATTCTCTGAAGCCATGAACCAAAGTAAACCTTCCCTCCTCTAGATTGTTCTTATCAGGTTTTTTGGTCACAGTGACAAAAAACTGACTATCACGGTATCTCTTCAAGTCCTTTCCAGCCTCCGAGTCCCCCCTGGCTGAGCAAGAGTGTGCCTGGATCACTGGTGGTCAGGGCAGGGCTGGCCTGGCCCTGGGGTGTGGCCTGTCTTGGGCTCTGCCAGGGAGTTGTCTCACCCATGGGGCCAAAGGTATAGCCCACTCTGGGCCCCTCCCCTAGCCGTGTCACCTCTGCCGGTCCTCGTCCAAGCAGTTGACAATGGCATTGCGCTGCTCGATGAGGGTCACGAGCTCCTGCATCAGCACCTTCTCCCGGCCCCGATCTTCCTCGGTCCAGTCCTTCTCTGCCAGGGGAGAAGGGCCAAGGTATGAGTGGTGGTAGAGCCTCCTCCTCCCCAGCACACCAGGAGCCACTACAGCAAGCACAGGAAGGAGGCCCAGAGGGGAAACGAAGGTTGTTCTGGAAGAGATCAAGGATGCTTAAAAAAAGCACCCTTCAAGGGGCCCCGGGAGGCCAGCGTGAGACCCTCTAAGAACAGAGGCGGGCACACTTATGGGCCCCCGCTCAGCTCACGCATGTGGCAGTAGATGGGCAAGATGGCCTCTTGCAGCAGGCAGGACCCTGCGGGGAGACAGCAGGGACTCCCGGGGCTCCTCCTGCAGACGCACTATGACCAAGGGGCACACTGGGGCAGTCACCAAGCAGGAGGGAAGATGAAGGAGAACTGGGGCAGGAACCCAGCTGGGAGGTTCCCCTGCTGCTGCGTCTACCTGCTGCCCTTTGAGCTCCTCTCCCCTCCAGGCACAGAGCTTCCCACAGCTCCACCCTCAGGGCCCACCTGTGCCCTTGGCATTACCTCCCCAGCATCTCCCCACCTATCTGGAATGACAGCTGGGCCCCTGAGCCACTGCCCCGCTGGCCTACTGCCTCACCTTGCCAAAGTTCAGGGGCAGGTGCCCAACCTACTTCTAGGGACAGAATATGGGCTCAGTGTCACCATCCAAGTTCATAGCCCACTCTATGACTTCCCAAATCTGGAACCTGGGTGACTTATGTCCCTAGTCTACATGTAGGGAGCAGGCTTAGGGAAGCTAAGTCCTTGGCCAGCACCACCCAGCAAAGGTGGCCCAGGATTTGAAGTGGGGCGGAAGACGGCTGTCGCAGTGCCCTGAGGCTCTCCAGTCCACCTGGGGCTCATCCTCCCAAACAACATCGGGGTCAAGCCCAGAAGGTGCTGCCCACAGAAGGGAGGCTGGAGCGACCACGGGAGACCCAGGGCCAGGCTGGCCGGGGAGACGGAGGTCCTGAGCTCACTCGGCCACAGGGTGTCGCTGTGGCCCCCTGAGTGGCCACACCCCAGCCTCCTGGAGGTCTGGGTGGGAATGACTCACAGCTGGTAGTGGACCTGGGCCATCCTGTGACTTTCCCAGGGCCACCTGCCTCCCAGGTTCCCAGCCAATGGAGAGGCAGGACCAGTCACAGCGACAGGAGAGCCGGGGTGCAGGGACAGGTGCAGGTGGGAGATGTGGAGGGAAGGGCACCTGCAACACCCCGGGGCAAGCCCCTTGGCCCTTCTGGCCCTCCGTTCCCCTGTGTGTTAAAGGGTGACGGTGGCCTGCCACGCAGGGCTGGCACCATGCCCAGCCATGAGGAGAGGTCAGAGCTGTGGCTTCCACAGTCCCGAGGTCTCTGCCCCCGGCTACAGTTCACTTCATACTGTGGCCAAAGGGCCCTTGAAGAGCCTCCCTCACCAGACTCCAGCTTGGCACTCAGTCCGCGGAGCCCAGGGAGCTTCCGCGTCACTGTCTTCTGTCCCGAGAACGCCCCATGGGATGTGTTCCTTCATTCTCACCTCACACATGAAGCCACTGAGGCCCAGAGAGGCTAAGCAACTCGCCTAATATCACACAGCAAGTCTGATCCCATGCTGTCCTGGTCCTGTTGTTCACCGAGAGCTGGTCACCCGACACCATGGACATCCCCCCTCACCTGTCGCGTGGTCCGTCTCCTCCATGGCACTCACCATTTATGCCCACCCTAACTGCTCCCGGCCTCAGATGACCCAGGGCGCCTGTGGCCCTTCCTGTGGCCCATGTCCAGCCCACCCACGCACTGCCCGTGGCGGCTCAGGGTGGAAGACGTGTGGCCCCCTCACCCGGCTTGTTGAGAAGGCATCGGAGCTCGTACTCCACGTCCGCCTGGCGCTGCTCCAGGTTCTGCTGCTTGAAGCTAGAGGGTGAGAACCGGGGGACAATGGGCGACTCTGCCCCCTACCTGGCTGCCCCACCCTGTGCTGCCACCAGCCCCAGGACAGGAGGGCGGGCGGGCAGTGCAGGACTCACACGTAGATGAGCTCCGACTCCCGCCGCACCAGCAGGTGCTTCTCGTGGATGAGCTTGAACCAGTCCACCAGCATGTCGTCCTCTCGGCCCTCTAAAGCCAGACACCCCCTGAGGCCAGGGCGGGCCACCCGGCTCCCCTGCTCGCTGGCCCAGGAAGAGGGGCACCACCCAGACCCTCCCGGCTCCCGCACCATTCACTCCGCCACGCAGCTTCTCCTCTAGCAGGACCCCGCGGTGTTCCAGAGCATCCAGCTGGCGCTCAATGGTGTCCATCTCTCCATAGATGTCCTCCTCCGGGATGTACTGGTCAGCCTGGACCTGCCCCCAAACACCCTGGTCACCTAAAGGCCAGCAACGCTCTCCCGCGTGCCCTCCCCTGCTCAGGCTGATGCCAGGAGCTCCACCCCTTTTCCTGGCCACCATAGGCTCCAGGGACCCAGGTCCTGCGGCACATGCCAGCGCAGCAGGAAGCAGGATGGGCGAGGGAAGAGGCTGGTGTGGGGTCACCCTGACCCCTACGCGCTGTGAGTCCTGGCACCAAGACACCCCCATTTCCAGCTTTGTGGAAACTCCTCCCCCTGCCACTCCGAAGGACCTCACGGCAGGAGTGACAGCGGCCGATGTCGAGACGACCTGGAGAACAAGCCTCTCACAGGAGCGCCTGACGCTGCACTATCGTTAGCCACCAAGAAATGCAGAGGGGGCTCTGGGCTGCCAGGGCCCCTGCTGTGTCCCCCTGGCTGAAGCCCGGGCTTCCAGAGGTCACCTAATAACCCCCTGAACATCAGGGCAGCGACCCAGACACTCGGCCCGAGGTGACAGGGAGGCTGTGGTCCCGCTGCCTGCGTCCCGGGGCTCCCAGCTGGCACCTTGCGTTTGATGAGCGGGAAGCCATGTCCGGGCGCAGGTGGCCTCACTGGCTTGGATCCCTTGGTGGCCTTCCTTGCTGTTGGAGATGCTGCTGGTGACGGCTTCCGATTAAAAGGATTCTCCTTGCAGGAAGACTAAAGGCAGGGACATGACAATGGGCAGCATGGTCACATGAGGGGCACAGAAAGTGGACCAGCTTGGTGGCACACGCCTGCAATCCCAGCTACTCGGGAGGCTGCGGCAAATTCCACTCACCCGACGACAGCATTCCAGTTCTCTCTCTCCTTCCTTCCTTCCTTTCTTCTCTTCTTTTCCTTTTCCTTTCTTTCATCTTTCCCTCCCTCCCATCTTCCTTCTCTCCCTTTCTTTCTTTCCTAGAGATCGAACCCAGGCACTTTACCACTGAGCTACATCGCAGCCTTTTACGTTTTTTATTATGAGACAGGGTCTTCCTCTTTGCTGAGGCTGGTCTCAAACTTTAGGTCCTCCTGCCTCAGCCTCCCAAACGTCTGGGATTACAGTGTGCACCGCCACCCCCAGCACGCATTTTTTTCTTGTCTTTTTTCTTAAAGCTCTTACTTATTTTTTTAAGTGCTGGGAAGAGTCTGGGGCCTCGTACATGCAAGGCAATGCACTACCACAGGGCTGCCCCCACCAGGCACTTCCATTCCCAGAGAACCTGCAGTGTGCCAGTTACTACGGCACCCGATGCTCTGGATACATGCATTCCTGCTCGGATCTCAGATCAGGGCTGGGCGTGGCTCAGGGGAAGAGACCTGCCCAGCATACTCAAGCCCTGGGCTCCATTCCCAGCACGACCCCCACCCTCACCCCCACACAAAAAGTTTCGTCTCCCAACACCTACGAAGCAGGTATTATAAAGTACATTTTACAGCCAAGCAAGGAAGTCTAGGCCCAGCAGCCCTCAGCACTGAGGAGCTGTGGGCAGACCGTGGAGAGCTCACCCAGGCCTTGCAGACAGATGCCCTTCCCAAGAGAAATGCAGCCTCTCACACAGGGTCGCCCAGCCAGAAAGTCCAAAAAGAGGACCCTGACCCTCTCTCCTGCAGCAGATGGTGAAGGACAGCTCCCTTCTGGACTGGGAAAGGCCCACCCTCTGCTGCCCAGCCAGCCACACCCAGAGTTCAGGCTCTCTTTCTGCCCCTCTGGGGAGACCGCTGTCCCCTCAGAGGCCGGCCCAGCCAGGCAGCCACACCAGGCCCGGCAGGCCCCGCCCGCCCCATGCACACTGTCACGGCTCCCTGCAGCTCCCGGGAGGAAACACAGGAGCCCTCGCAGGCCTTCCTGAGGCACACTGAGGCCTGCAGCCTTCTCCCACAGCTGGGAAGGGAGGGCCCTGCCCGTCCCCTATGCCAGCTCAGGAAGCCACCTCTGAGGCCAGGAGTCTCTCTGGGACACTGAGGCAGGAAAATGCGCCAGGGCCAGAGTGCAGCCACACAGGGAGGTCCTCACCAGTGAGCCCAGTCCAGGGTCAGCTCGGCCACCCAAGACCTGGTCTCCTGTCCCCACTGTCTCCCAATCCTGGAAGGAGTGTGGGTGGGCTCTCCAGAAGGAGGATCACTTGGGCTTCTGCCTCCTGCCTCCATAAACACCCAGAAGACCCAGAGTCCAGGAGCCTGAAGCCTCGACCCCTCAGGGGCTTCAGCCCTTGTCAGCCACAGGCCACCCTCACACCCACCCTCCACAGCGATGGATGGGGGCAGATGCCTGGAGCCGAGATCCTGACCCAGCCACCCACCTCTGACCACCAGTCTGGAGCCTGGCACGCCCAGCCCCTCTCTCTCAAGGGGAGCCCGAGCCCAGGGAAGGACACGGTCTTCTCAAGGTCATTGCAGGTGGCACAGCTAGGATCACTGCACCTGAGACTGTGGCCCAAGCCAAGCAAGGTCCAATGGTGTCTGAAAGACCGACCGCAGTCAGGCCATGACAACAGCTGCCCCCGTAAGCATCCCTGCCTTCCCCTCCTGGGGCCTGGACAAGCCCTGGGTGCCGAGAGGCCAGCGGAGCATGCACTGTGGACACAGGAGGGCATGAGCTAGGTGCCTGGAGCATGTCCCGATCCCCGCCACCCCAGGTTGTTGGCACAGGGCGGGAAGTTGGTGCGCCTATGGCTGACCAAGCTTCTGGAAACCAATCCTCCTTGGCACCGCGCCTGAGGGAAGACTCCACCCAGCAGGCCTACGGGGGCCCGAGGACACACCTCTCTGCCCTCTCCAAACTCCTCCAGGCCACACAGCCAAGGCACTCAGGAACTGGGTCCTGAGCCCTGCAGCCTGTCAGGGGCTGACCCTGCCACTGCCAACCCTACCCACAGCACCGCGGTCACCTGAGCGCCTCCCCAACCTGGCTGGGGACCGCCCTCGCCCACATCACCTCCGCGGCCGGCAGGTGGGTCCCTTCCCTCTGTTCTACCCCAGATCACCTTCTAGAACAATCCGAGTCATGTCTCCCTGAGCAGCCCATGAGCCCCCCAGGGCAAGTCAGGGTCTGAACGCCATTTCGACCCCAGCCCGACAGCCGCCAAGCGGGAGCGGAGGAGGGGTGGACGGGCCGTGTGCACGAAGTCTGGGGTGGATGGTCCCAGGGGTTCAGCACCCAGGCCTAGGACACCAGGTACACGGGCGCTGGACATTCAGTACACAGATGGCCAAATGAGTGGACAGATGAACAAATGGACAGGGGATGGACAGAGGGATTGGTGCCTCACTGCATAGGGTGGGAGTGGCTTGCTGGACACAGCCAAGGCCACTCGAGAAGTCAGGAGCCAGCATAAACGGCAGGCCCTGGACATTCTTGCCTGGAGACCAGACCCATGTCCATGAGAGAGGACGCAGCTGGCGGAGGGAGAGTGGGGGTGGACACTCACCTTCACCTGCAGCTGTGGGGACGCGCTTCCCGGGGAAGGTGCAGGGCTCCTGTCTCCAACCAGCAAGAGAGGGGTGGGGGTGGCCCCGCTGCAGGGCTTGGCTGGCAGGGGACTTGGGCTGCCCCTGGTCCTGGCCTGTGGTGTCCGCTCCGTGCTGGGCTGCACCGTCTCCCCAGAAGAAGACAGGGAGGAGTCGGCGGAGAGGCTGGCAGAGCTCCCAGGGGTGCCGGGGGTGTCGGGGGCGTGGACAGCAGGCTCCGAGGAGCTCTTGGGCACGGCGGGCGGCTCCAGGAGCTCGGCGCTGGCAGCCTGGCCTGAGCTCTGGGAGGACAGGCTCTCCACACTGAGGGCCGGCGACGGCGTGGCCGAGGGGGGCTCCGAGCGGGAGAGGCAGGAGGCGTGGAGAGCTGTGAATGAATGCCACGTGACCTCGTGTGACCCGCTGCGCAGGCCTTCAGCCTCACCCGACAGGATCCCTGCCCCAGAGCTGCCAGCAACCCAGGACACCCAGCCCCTCCCCAAACGCATGGGCGCGGGCCCACAAGACACAAACCTACGGCAGGACCAAGTCACAGGTTTCCCATCGTCAGACCTTGTGCTGGGGTGCACTGCCTCGTGACACATCTGAGACCCTTCCTCTCCTGCAGTAGCACTGCCGCCGCCACCCCCCACCGCCTCCCAGCATGCCCGAGCCACCCCCAGGCAAGCTACTGGGAAGGGGAGGGGAGACTGCTGCAGGGGAAGGCCAGAAAAGTGAGGCTAGCCTCCCCGTCTCCAACCTGCTCTGTGGGAGGGACACAGCAGAGAGGCAGGGGCAGCAGCCCTGGCTATGGCCAGCTCTGGCCCAAGCACTGGTAGGCACCACTGCTGGGCATCCTCCTACCGACGACAGAGACCAAGTCTCCAAGTCCCTCATCCCCACTTTCCAAAAGAAGCAACAGACTCAGAGGAGAGGGCACTTGTCCCCATAAGGGCTGGCCTTGAACACAGCTGTGGCCAATCCAAGTTCATGCCCCTCAGCTCACCCAGAGCCTGCCCACCGTCTCCCCCTGGGCAGCCCAAGCACCACTGGTGCCTCCCAGGGTTGAGACCCCTGGGCACCTGCCTGTGAGCATCTCTAACGCTCTTAGCCCCACCATCTGAGTGGTACCCTGAGTTCTCAGAGGCCCAGACGCCAGCAGAGAAGGCAGGTGGCCAAGAGCACAGGAAACCTGGGAGACCGGAGAGCCCAGGATGCAGCGTGCCCAGGAAGGAGGCTCAGGGAGGGCAGAGGCCCAGCACCCTGGAGCCAGCCCTGCCCACGTCCCAGAGGGGAAGACTGAAGACAGATGTAGGGAAGGAACAGCTCCCAGTCTCAACGACACAGTGACAGTGTCTGAGCAAGTTGGGGTGAGAGCCGACCCCTACCATGTGCCCTGAGGGGCCTGGCCTGGCCTGCGCCAGGTACTCCCTTGGGCCCTCATCAAGAGTATGGACTCAGGATCTGGAGCGGCGGTGTACACCTGGAATCCAAGAGACCAAGGCACCAAGGGCACCTTCAAGGCCAGCCTGGGCAACTCAAGGTGTTGTCTCAAAGTCAAAAAGGGCTGCGGCTGTAGCTCAGTGGTAGAACACTTGCCCATCATGGGCAAGGCCTTGGGCGTCATCCCCTGTACCACACACACAAAAAAAGACCCCTAGAGCCAGCTGCCCTCACATCTTCAAATCCTGCCTTCATCGCTTCAATACTGCGAGGCCCGGGGAAAATCACTAATCCTCTCTGTGCCCGTGTCCTCACCTGCAAAGAGGCAATCGTGACACGGCCTCACAGGCTCCTCTAGGGTTCAACAGAAGGAGACTGCGAACCACACAGGGTCCCTGGCCTGGAGAGCCGCCCTGACCACACCGCCCAGCCCGGGCCTATGCAAGGGTCAGGCAGCTGCGGGGCAGGGGGGTACTCACTGAGTGGAGATGAGCTGGGCACTCGGGGGGCGGGGCGCTTCTTCGTCTTGGGGCTGCTGGTGGGGGTGATGCCATACCAAGGGTGCAGGGACTTGGGTGTGGACTCTGGGTGGGCCAGGGCAGGGCCGGGCACCGGGCTGGGCACTGCAGGGAGTGACTCCTCCTCTTCTTCATCCTCCTCAAAGGGGTTGTAGGGCCTGGGCTCGGGGCCCTCCACCATGGCCCCATTCTCCGCCTGCCTGCTGGCCAGAGCCAGGCTTGGTGGCCCAGGGCTGCTGCTGGGAGGCAGCGGGGCTGGCTTCTTCTTTGTCTCTGCCTGAACCAGTGTGATCCATGGGGGGTCCTTCCTGGGGGCTGGCGTCCTGGAGAGAGGCCAGGAAGCAGAGATGAAGGCAGTGGTCAGTCTTCTGTCTTCCTGGCACAGTTTCAAGTCCATGTTAAAGGAGAGCAATGAGGAGCTTCCCAGCCCAGGGGCCAGTCTGGGCCCAAGGATGAAAGGAACTCTTACAGTCACATCCCAGCTAGGCACCCTGAGGCGCAGAAAGAGCCGACCCTCAAGTCACACAGCCAGGAAAAGAAGAAACCAGGGGTCTGGGGAACACACGGGAACACAGTCACCTGGCCCCTCTAGGTGTCAATCTCCTCATTTGCTAAATGGGGCGATGACACCTCTTGGGCTGTTGTAAGAATCCAATGAGGCTCATGCCCAGGAGCTCCATAAACATTGACCACTAGGACAGCTGGGCCACCTCCCTCCCAACCCACCACCAAAGCCCGGCTCCTGAAGAAGAGTCGGAAACAGGTCCCCCCTGCAGGGTCGGGGAACGGAGAGCCGAGCACCAAGCTGACTGCTCCAGGCCTTTCTACTCTATGAACAAGGCCTCGGTCTCCAAGGCCTGGTCTCCGTATTAGGGAGGATCTGGAGGTTGGGGAAGGGGAAGGGATTCCAGAGGCAGCTGTCCCCACGGGAGCAGGTCAGGCAGTGGCAGTGGGAATCCCCAGGCAGCCATGGGGGAAGGGGCAGGGGGCCCAGCTCTCCTGCCCACCAGACAAGCCCACCTGCCCACCCCAGGAACCCAGCCCCACCCAGGCCCCAGGGGCCCCGTTCCCACCAAGACCTCCATGGCAGAAAGCCTCTCGTGGGCCAGCTTACCTGTCTATCAGTTTGGGTGTCCCTCTCGGCTTGGGGACAGGAGGGTCCTGCAGTCTTCCTAGATGGGAAAGGACCGTGAGCCAGACCTTCATGGGCAGCAGAGAGGGGCCCCCAGAGCCAGCCAGAGAGCTGGCCTTGCTGAGGAGTGCCCTTCCTTCCCACCTGGGAGGTCATAGACCCCAGGTGGCCATGACAACCTCCCCTGCACCCAGGTACCTCCCCTGCCCAGCCCTCAGAGAGATTAGATAAGCACTGAAGGTGACCAGGAGAATGGTCCGGTGGACAAGGCCAGGCCTCCCGAGACTCCGTCTATATTTCAGTTGAGAAGAGAACCCAAGTCCCTTCAGATCGATTCCCAGTGTGGGCCAGAAACAGCATGTCACTTTAGCCCAGGTGCCACCTCCTCCTGGAAGCCTCCCCTGACTCCCAGGGTCACCCCTCTCAACAAGATCCTGCACTCTCCTAGGCACCTGAGTCTGCCTCTCTCCTCCTCAACACTGGAGGGCACAAGGAGGTCTGAACAGTATCTGTCCCTAGTGCCCAGCCCCTAAGCCAGCCCTCGAGAGCACAGAGCGGAACGAACAAGCGGAATGAACAAGCAGAACTTCTGGTGAGTCCCAGGGAGGCCAGTGCATCCGGGTTATAGGAGCCTCCTTTCTTTCCATGTGCTCCTGGAAACCCCGGGAGATCCTTTGGGAATGTGTGCAACACGGGGTGAGGGGAGGACCCGGAGGGTGGGCAGGGGTTTCCACTGCAGTTCAGACTAACTCAGAGCTGCCTGACCCCCACCTTCTCCCAGTCCCTCAGTTCTCCCAGGCCAGGCTTGGCCACACGCAGAGGCTGGGCACGTGAGGTCACCGGGGAGCGTGCCTCGGGACTACCCAGGGCACGGGAATGACGCCAGCTCAAAGTCCCCAGGACACTCAGGACACACAGGCGCACACAGCAAACACTCCTACACACCCTGGAACACAAGACTGACACAACCAACACGCAGGACGGGGCAGGGGAGAGGCGGGCCTTACTCTGCCCGTGAGAGCTGCACTGGCTCCGGGAACAGCTTGGCTCAGGGGCTTGCGGTGGCTGCTGGCTGTGGGAATACCAACCTCAGGACACACTCACAGTGTATGCAGGCCCAAGTGGAGAAAGTGGCTCCCGGATGCGCCCAGGTGCACACAGACACTCAAGGCCCAGACACAAGGGCCACCCTGCCCGCTGCACCCCGCTCACCATTCACGAGGCCGCTGTCGCCCTGCTCCACCGGGCTGTCCTGCTGCAGGCTGGACCGGGGCCGGGGCGTCGGGGGCGTCAAGGCTGTGCTCTCAGAGGACTTCCTGGGCGCAGGCGTGGGCCGGCTGGCTGGGGGGCTGGCCAGTTCCTGGGGTTTGCCGGGAACTGGGGGCTTGGTGGGGATCTGCGGCCGGGCCTCAGGGCTGGCCTTGGGTCCCTCGGCCTCAGGCCCTGCAGCCACACTCGGGCTGAGGCAGCCTCCCTCGCCGCCATGCTTGGCTTCTTCTGGGAGCTGCTGCTGCTTTGGCTGTGAGGGGGGTCCAGGCCTGGTCCCTGGCCACCCCCCTGGGCCTAGCCTGGTACAGCGCTCTGCACACACAAAGGTGCCCTCCTCAGGTCCGCTCCGGTAAGCCCCGGGCAGCAGGGTGCTGGAGCACCGCCGACACCTGCAAGGGGGACAGGACAGGTTCCGCCAGGCACTGCAAAGGCCCAGGCTGCTCCCTCCTCCCTTCACCAACTGCCCCGTGCATCCAGCCCAGGACTTGGGTGTTCCCAGATCAAAAAGAAAACAGTAACTGTCGGAGACACATGGGAACAACACAATCAGCAAAGCACTTGTGAAACACACTTTCAGTTTGTGCTGCAAGAGGAAGAAGCAAAGGTTTGCCCCAGAAGTACCTCCGGGGGCTGCCACCCACTAGGCCCAGGGAATCAACTGGGTGGTTCGAAACCAGCCAGGTTTGTTTATTGTGGGTTGGTTGGTTTTTTCCCTTCTTTTTCCCTCACAGTACTGGGGATCAAAGCCAAGGCCTCATAATTGTGCAGCCACCAAGCTATACCCCCCAGTCTCAGGTTTATTTGTTTTTAATAAATCAGAATAAAATATATCAGTAAATAATGCAAGCAAGGATAAACACTGCTTTATGAGCCTCTTATTCTGTGTGTGCGACTATTGACAAGAGTTTCATTTCAGGTATTTACACCAAGTCACCAATGTCAAAAGCATGTTTTACTAAGAGTCACTGTAAAGAGTTTCTCAAATGCTGCCTAGGTGACCAGATGTGACTGTATTGATGTAGCCTGTTTCCCTGGGCCTGGGGCTGTACTCATATGTACAGGCACCAAACCAGATCCAGTACGTGCTGGAATTCCAAGCATGGCTGCCCTTGACTACATATTTTCAATTTTCCTTTCCGTTCTTTTTTTTCTTTTTTTAATATTTTTTTGTTTTGTTTTCGGCGGACACAACATCTTTGTTTGTATGTGGTGCTGGGGATGGAACCCGGGCTGCACGTTAGGCGAGCACGCTACCGCTTGAGCCATATCCCCAGCCCCTCCGGTTTCTTTTTTCTAACATAAAATGTTTGGGGGCTGGGGGTGCAGCTCAGTGGTGGAGCATTTGCCTAGCATGTACAAAGCCCTGGGGTACATCCCCAAGACAGCACTAAAAAAAAAAAAAGGTTTTCACTAAGTTTTTGCATTTTCCTTGCTTGTTATATTCTACTTCCTTAAAACTGGCTTGCACCAGAGAGCCAACTTAAAGCAAGTTGTTATTGGGGTTTTTTTAAAAACTTTTTTCTGGGTCTGGGGATGTGGCTCAAGCGGTAGCGCGCTCGCCTGGCATGCGTGCGGCCCGGGTTCGATCCTCAGCACCACATACAAACAAAGATGTTGTGTCCACCAAGAACTAAAAAAATAAATATTAAAAAATAAAATAAAACTTTTTTCTTTTCCCAATGGCTTTCAAGTCTATGCTTTTCGTTAGTCAAGTGGTTGTCCTCAAGAGCTAGGGCACTGCAGCAGAAACCCTGAGCTCCAACCATGTTGGTCACGAGATTTTGATCTAATTATGTGACTGAGCAGGTCTTTCCCATTACTAAGCCTTAGTTTGCTCCTCAGTAAAATGGGAATAAGTCAGACGCTCTAGCCCAGAGCCCATCAAGATGCCTGGCACAGCCGGACACAGTGACGTGCACCTGTAATCCCAGTGATTCAGGAAGCTGAGGCAGAAGGACCCAAGTTCAAGGCCAGCCTGGGCAACTTAGTGAGACCTAACTCAAAATAAATCCAGGGTGACAAGGGACGTGCATGACCCCTACACTCACCGAAAGCAATGCCGATGGTACAGCCTGCCCTCTGCCAGGTACCGCTGCACCAGATGCACGTGCTGCTGGCAGGCCGCACAGGTGCTACTGGGGGCCCGCTGGGGGGCCTGCTCCGACAGGCTGCCTGGGGGGAGCTCCTTGCCCTGCAGGGAATGGGTACAGTCACCAGCCATGCCGTTCAGAACAGAACACGCCCCTTCTCCTTCCCTGTCATGGCCACTGTCCCTAAAGTGTGCACCGAGCTTCATGGTGGTAACAGGGAAGGATCAGAACCCAAGAGGGCAGTGAGGGGATCCTGTCACTGTGCCCCAGATGAGGAAGCCAAAGCCCGGAAAGGGGGAAGATTTGTCAAGGTCACGGAGCTAGGGTGAAACAGAAAACCTGACTTCTGGTTTCTGAGGATTCCTGCCCCCAGGAAAAGCAGTGCCCTGTGAAGGCCTCCCCTTCCCTCGGAGGCCCTCCTTGAAGGCTGTCTCTTAATTCGCCTCATCTGCCCGTCTTCCCTCCTAGAGCTGCAGGTTTAAGTCCCAACGTCTCTCCTGCCCAGCACTGTGACCTTGAGCATGCCTGAGACTTGGGTCCACCTATAGAATGACCCTTGCTAGTCTCAGTCCCACGTAGCCTCCCTGGGGACCCACTTGGGCCTGGCTCTCTCTGGAGCATGTGTCACTGCAGTTGTCCCCCAGTTGTCCCCACTCTGCACCCAGGCATCTGCATACCTGGCCCTTGTCTCCTGGTTCCGCCACAGTGGGTGTTGCAGAGGGTGGGGGGGAGGGTGCCAGGTCCTTCCTGGGGGGTGAGATGCCACCTGCCAAGAGACAGGAAAGGTGCCTGAGGCAGGTGGGGATCCTGCAGCCGCTGGAGGCCCCGCCCTGCCCAAAGAGGTCAGCTCGAAGCCTTCAACCCTGAGGCACCACAGGACCAAAGGAGGCTCCCCCATCACAGGCCAGGAGCACCTTCACTTGCAAGTCATGTGCTAAGGACAGGCCACCTAACCTCACTGAGCCCCGTAAAAGGGGGACAGTAATGACTACTGCGCACAGCCCATAGGACAACAGGACGATCAGAGAATCATCGAGGGACGCTGCCCGGCAGGAGGGCAGTCTCCTTCCCAGCCCAGCGAGGGGTTGGAGAGGGGAAAGCAAAATGCCTTTGGTGCCAGCCTGGTGGCTGGGGATGCTGCCTCTCCTGTGGCCACTGCTCACCTCACAGGCGAGCAGATGCAGCTCAGAACCCTGCCCACTGCCCCTCAGAGAGGACAACCCCCACCCAAGGCTCCCTGGGACCCAGCTCCTTCCTGCTACAGCACATGTTAAATGAACACCTGCTCTGGACCCCAGGATTAAAACAAACCCCAAGTCCACAGAACTGTGTACCCAAGAAAAGGCCACTGATGATATTTTAAAAATCTAACCACAACGGCCTTATCATCTACAATGCACTGACCAAACGTCAGGCCCCTGAACACATCTCAAAGCACTAAGGAGATGTCCACCAGCACGTTCACAAGACGGAACAGAACAGAAAATATCTGCATGTTGTAAAGTGCATCACATGTTCTAAGGGGAAGAACTGTTTCCTAAAACTCGTTTCAGTTACATACGTGTGCGTGGCCTGGGAGCGTGCCAGGAAACGTCCTTACTGTGAGTCACCCTCAAAGGTTTGGAAGCCCAGCAGCCTCAGCCAGTCCCTCCAAGACCTGCTCTGCATCCTGCCCGCCTCCTCCGCATCACTCACAGCAGCACATGCCCCCTGCTACCCCGGCCAGCAACATTCCCCCCACCAGGATTTTCACAGGGCCACCTGGGCCTCCTCCTCCTTTAAGAGATCAGGCCCTCCCTGACCGCCCATCTGAGATGCCACTCCCTCCCCTTATTACTTTTGGGATTGAACCCAGGGGGTTTTAACCACTGAGCCACATCCCTAGCCCTTTTTATTTTCTATTTTGAGACAGGGTCTCATTAAGGTGCTTAGGACCTTCTTAGTTACTAAGGCTGACTTTGAACTTGTGATCCTCCTGCCTCAGCCTCCGGAGCCACTGGGATCACAGACATGAGCCACCGCACGCAGCTTTTTTTTTTCTTTCCTTCTTTTGAGATGAGGTCTTGCTGTATTACCCAGCTGGCCTTCTCCCAGGCTCCAATTAATCCTCCTGCCTCAGCCTCCCAAAACTGTTTTTTGGTTAGTTTGCTTGTTTTTCAGTACTAGGGACTGAATCCAGGGGTCACTGAGCCACTGAGCCACATCCTCAGCCACCCCCTTTTTTAAAATACTTTTTTTAATTGTACATGGACACAATACCTTTATTTTACTTTCATGTGGTGCTGAGGATCAAACCCAGTGCCTCACAGATGCTAGGCAAGTGCTTGACCACTGAGCTACAGCCCCAGTCCCCCACTTTTTTTTATTCTGTTTTGTTTTGTTGTTGTTTTGAGATAGGGACTCGCTTACTTGTCCAGGCTGGCCTTAAATTTTGATCCTCCAGCCTCAGCCTCTCCAGTATCTGGAATTACAAGCATGCGCCCCTGCACCCCGTTTCCCCCATTGCTCTTCATCCTGCTCCTTATTTAATCCTTGAAATGATACGACTTACTGATCTATTCTCCCTTTCGCCCTCCTCATTATAATGTAAGTCCTGAGCCTGAACCCTCTTAGTGGTCTCCCCAGCAGCTGTCACAGGCCTGGCACATAGTAGGGACTCAACAAATATTTGCTTAAATGTGTGGGAAAGTGCCAGGTGCTGGGGCTGCACAGCCATGAACAAGACAAAGATGGTCCACAGGAGAAAGAAGCGGGTAAGGCAGCTCTTGGGGACCGGGGCGGGGCTCAGTGGTGGAGCCTGCACTTAGTGTGCACGAGGCCCTGGCCCCACTCCAGCTCTGAAGAATCTGTACACTAGCATGAGGTGGGCAGCAGGAATGTCCACCTGGAGAAGGCAAAACTGGAGACAGGAGCTTGGGCAGGAGGGAGCCCACCAGGAGGGAGGCAGGGGCAGACCAGCAAGGAGCCGCTCAGCAGGGACGGGACGTGACGCTCAAAGACGCGCAAGAAACCCAACAGGACTGCAGCTGGGGCAGGGAGCAGTCAAGCCCACGGACAGAGGCCCAGGAAGCCACACAAGGTTTCTGGGCCTCCTCCTGAGGACACTTGCCCTGCACCCTGTGGACAGGTGCCCCCCTGCGGATTCCCATGACTGCGGGGCTTCCTACACTCAAGCCCCGACTCCCTGGCCAGGCAGGGGTCACCTGATGTGCCCACGGTCACTGGCACCCTCAAGCCCCCCACACAAGCTAAACACAGTGGGATCCAAAGTTACCAAGTTCACTGAAAGTCAGTCTGGTCAAAAATCACCCCTGAAACCCCTTCCCTGGCCCAGAAAGCTCAGTACAGGAGCTGGGGAGCCACCAGCCAGCTTTGCCTCCGGGGTTGGAACGCATCGCTGTTTCCTCTGCTGGAGCAACAGATGGGAGAAAAATGGTCTTACTTAGAGGTACCAGTTGTACCCTTCTCAATGAGAACCCCCGCAGGGAAGCAGAGAGCCCACCAGGGCACACCCACCCTGCAGGTCCCCCAGGAGGGGTCTGCAGGAAGGACTTGGTACAAGGAAACTGGGAGGTAAGTTGAGATTCAGGTCACAGTCCATTCATAAATCCTGATCATTAAGCAAGAGAAACAGGGATCAGCAGAATAAAGGGACACAAGTTCTCCCACGCTTAAAATGGGGCTTGTGCCCCGATAAACACATCACACCTTGGAAATTTCCTAAGTCAGAAATTCATTTATTACCCCAACCTCCGGGACATCACAGCTTAGCAACACAACACACTGTAGAGTACCAGCTGTTCCTGGCTCAGAAAAAGGGCAAAATTCAAAACTAGGAAAACAGTTTCTACAGAATGCATATTGCTTTCATACCACAGAAAAATTGAAAAATCAAGTTGAATCATCCTAAATCAAGGACCATCAATAATCTAGTTTTTAGGGTTTTTTGTTTTGTTTTGTTTTGTTTTGTTTTTGGTAGTATTGGGGGGTTGAACCCAGGGCTAAATAGCCAACCACTAAGCTGCATCCTCAGCCCTTTTTATTTTATATTTTGAGACAGGGTCTCAACAAGTTGCTGAGGCTGACCTTAATCTCACCATTCTCCTGCCTCAGCTTCCGGAGTAACTGGGATCACAGATGAGCACCACTGTGCCTGGCTAGATGGGCACTATTATCCCATTGCCAAGGGGAAACTGATACGGGGCACAGTGGCACACACCGGTAATCCCAGCAACTCAGGGGGGCTGGGACAGGAAGAGAACAAGTTCAAAACCAGCCTCAGCAATTTAGTGAGTTCCTAAGCAACTTAGCAGGACCCTGTCTCTAAATAAAAAAACTAAAAAAGGACTGGGGACGTGGCTCAGTGGTTGAGCACCCCAGGTTCAATCCCTGTAGCATTAAAAAAGAGGAGAGGCTGAGAAAGGGAGGTGAAATCGCTGTCACCCAGAGGGGAACTCCTGAGTCCACGCTCTGAATCTCCACTCCAGCTAGACTGCCTCACCAAGACGGCGGTGCCTAGAAGTGCAGTAGTTTTGGGTGCAGATGCCAAAATTCCCACCGGCACAAGCCCCTTATCTAAAATGGTGACGGAGTGGGTGCAGGGGTTCTCACACCTGTAATCCAAGCAGGAGGATCTCAAGTTCAAGATCAGCCTCAACAACTTATCGAGGCCCTAAGCAATTAACTGAGGGAGACCCTGGCTACTAGGGATGTAGCTCAGTGGTAAGGCACCCCTGGGTTCAATCCCCGATACCAACAAGTATTTTTTAAATAAACAAATTAAATAAAATGATGATTTACATATAACCTATGCACATCCTCCTGTGTACATTTTTTAATATTTATTTTTTAGTTGTACATGGACATAATATCTTCATTTTATTTTTATGTGGTGCTGAGGATCGAACCCAGTGCCCCACACGTGCTAGGCAAGTGCTCTACTAGTGAGTCACAACCCCAGCCCATGCATGTACATTTTTTAAATATCATACTGCAGACTTTAAATCATCTACAGATTATTTTTAATATGTAACACAATGTAAATGTCATGTAAAAAGCTGTCCTACTGTTTTTTGTGTTTTTTTTTCCCTCTGTTTGTTTGTGGTACTAGGATTGAACTCAAGGGCACTCTATCCCCGATAGTCTCCTTAAATTGCTTAGGGCCTTGCTAAATTGCTGAGGCTGGCCTTGAACTTGCTATCCTTCCGCCTCAGCTCCCAAAGTAAATGGGACTACAGGACTGCACCACCTCACCTGCTTGGCCTATAGTATTTTTTAGGAAAGATGATCTGAAAAAAGTCTGCAGTTGCTCAATACAGACGAAACTTTTTGTTTTGTTCTGTTTTTCTTTACAGTGCTAGGGATGGAACCCAGGGCCTCCAGCATGCTAGGCAAATGGTCTACCACTGAGTGCATCCCCAGCCCCTTGAATAATTTTGGCGGGAGGTTTGTTGACCCTGCAGGTGCAGAACCTAAGGACGCCCAGAACTATGTCTTTTCACTCTGACTTCTATTAAAATGCACAATGCAGTTTGTGCACTATGACATCAACCCTACTGTTCATGGGGGAAGCAAATAACAAATTCTTTTAATTTTTATGCTTTTTCTTTGTTCTAAATTTTCTGTAGTAAACATGTTTACTTTTAGTAAAAAAATAAAACCACTGACTCCTTTTTTTTTTTTTTCTTTTTTAACAGATGGGCTGGGTCTGTCCATAATGGAGAACAGAGGCAGGAGGCAAGACCCAAGTGGGGGCCCTGAGGACCCATGGGCAGCAGTGACCCCAAGTAGGATTTGGGGCTCCTGGATTCTCCTCCCAGCTGATCAGCTTTTCTGCTGTGTTCCTGAGCACTGCTCCCCCTCTCTGGGCCACTTCCTCTCTGCAGATGGGGAGGCCCAGCTGTCCCAGGAGGGGTTTCTGCACAGGACACCCAGCCACCTGGCTTGGAGCAGAGAGGCAGCCTCATCACCCCCAGCCCAGTTCCCAGGTTCTCAGTTCTCAGGCCTTAGAAGTCATCTCCGTGGAGGACACGGCACACAGCCCGACAGGACAGGGCCACTGTCTTGCTAGAGGAGAAAGACCGGGAAGCATCTGCAGACAGGAAGTCAGGGCTGGGAGGTGAACTCTCAGAGCGGATGAGCTCGCACTCCTGACAAAAGGTTCAGGTTTTGGTTTCTGTGCTTGTTATCACCTCCCCGTGGGGCTGTGCAAACTAGAAGCAGGAATCGCCCAACAGCTGCAGCGGGCCTGGCACAGCGATGTTTCCCCCAATAAGTATTCAAATGTGTGAACTGATGACTAAGTGAACAGCCGTGGCCATCTCCCAGTCGCCTGCTTACACCAGAAAACAGGAACAGGCCCTCGCAGGGCCAGCCTCCCAAAGGCAGGTCCCCTCTCACCTTGGCCAGGACTGGCAAAGTAGTTGTAGTACTGAGACACATAGGTCATGATGCTGAGACAATCAGGGACACTCATGGAGACCATGTCATTCGGGTCCAGGAGAGCAGGGATGCCCAGCTCCTTTTCAGCCACTTCGAAGGCCTGGGGTGGGGGCAGGTCGAGTCACGGCAGAGGAGGCAACGAAGAGGCAGTTAGTGGACATGCCTCACCCAGGCCTAACTCCTCGCAGTAGGATAGGGCAATGTGGCTCTAGGACCACCCCAACCCCACGGGATGGCCTGGGGGGCTGATGCCAGGCATGGCCTTTTCTAGGACCTGTGCCCCACATGCTAAGGCAGCCGCCCGGCAAGACCCCTGCCCTCACCCCCAGCCCGCCCCCCAGGCTTCCGTCCATCCGGGGACTCACCAAACGGTTATTCTCAAAGACATTGTCCTTGGAAAGTGAATCAAAATCTCTGCAAGAGGCAAAGGAAGGAAGAGCACTGGTCAGAGAGGAGGGGACAGCTCGGGAGTGTGCTGGGGCTCCTGAGGAGGAAACCGAGGCAGCCAGCACCTGCCAGGAGGGAGCCAGGGCATCCCACGGCGCCCTGCAGGCAGAGGCTGGGGAATGGCTGGGAAAGGAGGGTTTAAGACCCGGCTTTCCCTATAATCCCAGGGAGGTGGAAGTGGAGGTGGAGGATCGAGAGTTCAAAGTCAGCCCCAGCAATTCAGCCAGCCAGGTGCTAAGCAACTCAGTGAGACCTGTTGTCTAAATAAAATATAAAATAGGGCTGGGGATGTGGCTCAGTGGTCCAGTACCCCTGAGTTCAATCCCTGGTACAAAAAAAAAAAAAAAAAAAACACAAGACCTAGCTTTCAGGTCCAGACTCTTCCCTAGAAGCCATCTGGAGTCAGGGCAAGCACCCTCAATGACAGGGCCTCGGTGCGAGCCGTGCTGAGCTCCTTCATCTCATTTACATGATCCGAGAGGCAGCCCTATGGCAGGCACTTGTCCCATTCCACAAACGAGGGCACTGCGGCCTCGAGAGAGGACACCACCCAGCCCTGGTACGGATCTCTGGCCTTCTGCTTGTCATGTCACAGAGTCACACAAGTCCCACCAACTCACTGAATCTGAACCCTGCCCAGCCCAGGGATGAATGCTTTTATTAACTGGGCCAGAAATAGAACAAGTTTGGACAAGAGTGGAAGTGGGACACACTCCAGGGCTCCTGGCCCTCATCAGCTGGCTCGTCACTCCAGGGGACAACTTCCTTTGATGTGGAACAGTGAGGGGGTCCCAGGTTTTCTCAGTGGGCCAGGTGAGAGGCCCCTGCTGCCTTTGCCTACCCCACCCCCCTGCTCCGGCTGCGGGAGCTCTCCTGGGTCCACCCACGGGGGCCTTCTGCTTCCTTCTATGGCTGGAAGCTGCTGCTGAGATAAGTGGCCCATGTCCTGGACCTCAGTCCCTGCTCCTGCAGGCCAGGCCGTGTGACCGTGGGCAGGCCTGTCGTCCTTCCGGCCTTCATTTCCCCAACTGGGGAAGCCTACACCCAGCTCCCAGGCTGGTACGAGGGCTGGCAGAGCCTGGGCTTGGTGAGGGGCAGGCCCCCCAGACACAAGGGAGCAGGCAAGCAGCCCACGGCTCCTCACCCCACACTTTCCGAGGCAGTGTCCAGGGACCACGGACGGGTGGGGGGAGGGAGGCAAGGAAAGGCTGCGGGCGAACCCTGGCGGGGCTCATGGGCGGGGGCCAGGCACCAGCTCTGATCCCCTTGGCCAACTCTGGCCTCGACCCTCAGCTGCTTCACTAAGTCTCCTGTGGGTGACTTTAGGCAAGTCATTTAACGCCCTTCACTCAGTCTCCTTATCTGTGACACCTGGAAAGTTCTAGACTCTAGGGGAGACAAAGAAACAAAAATGAAATCCACATGGTCCCTGGCTTCAAGGGAGCTCAGCAATGTGTGCATGGGGAGGGGAGGGCCAGCACCTTCTCCCCCACAGAAGCCTGGGCCAGCACTGGTCCACCCTGGCAGGGCTCACAGTGCCAGGAGCTGAAACCACTGGACAATACCGGCCTTGCCCTGAGCCACTGGACAAGGCGGTTCTGGCCTCACGCCCAGCCCCACACCTTGGGCTCACAGAGACCCATCCCTACCCATCATTCTCCCCCCCCCCCCCCCCGCCGCTACTGGGGATTGAACCCAGGGGTGCTTAACTATTTAGCCACATCCTCAGCCTTTTTACTTTTCTTTTGAGACAAGGCCTCATTAGGTTGCTGAGGCTGGCCTCAAACTTGCCATCCTCCTGTCTCAGCCTCCCAAGCCGCTGGGATTACATGTGTGTGCTGCCACATCCAGTTGTTTTGAGGTTTGTTGCTTGGTGTCTCTACTACCTGTACAGTGTCCAGCAAAGACAACTCTAGAAGTACTTGTTGGATGAAGGAGTAAAAACACCGTCATCCTCCCCTGCTGCCTAATAACACCACTTATAATAACTAATGTTAATTGCATGCTTATTATCTCATTTAATCCTCAAAACAATCCCCATTATTCTTATGAATCAATCCCACCTTACAGATGCCTGGGGGAACCCAAAGACTTCCTAAACCTAAGAACCAGGGAGCCTTCACTTGGATGCCAACAGGCTCAGGGCCACCAAACAGGTTAGTTTGACACCCAAGTCCATTCTTGCTCTAGGCTTGGTCCCTGTCCTATGCCACTGGTCCCCAGCCAAAAGAGATGACCCCCACCAGCCTCTGCTCCAACACAGGGTCCAGTCCCAGCCCCTTCTCCTCCACCTCAAGCCCCTGCTCCTGAACTCCACAAGTATAGTGTCACATGCTCCACGGAGGACAGCAGGCCACCTGTGTCACCACCTCATCTGTTCCCTTCTATACTGATACCCCCAAAACCCTCTCCTCCTGGGCCCAGCCCATCTCCACAGACACGGTGCCACAAGGCACAGAGTAAACTGGGTGCATGTACCATCCGATTCTCGGGGTGATCCTTTCAGAGCCCTGCCAGGGCAGATGTGGGGTGAAAGAGCACAGAAAGACTCCAGGCCCTGCCAGGCTGGAGCAGGAGGGGGTCCTGCCAGCAGGCAGTAAGCACAGAGAACTAAGAACCAGGACTTCAATTCAAAATTTGCAATTGAGACCAAAAGCAAAAGAAATGGTGAGCACCAGATAAACTTTCACTTATTGTTTTATGAATGAATAAGTGAAAGGAAGGAAGAGATTCCAGGGTTCGGGCCAGCAGAGAGGGTTGAGGCAGCAGCCCAAGCCAATTGCTCAGGGGGACTGAATACATTTTCCAACTAGAACCTCACTGGGCAGCTCCAGGCAGGAAGGGGTCACTTCAAAACCTCGAAAAGCTGATTGACGGTTCTCAATGGGAACTTGTGCACCTGAGTCTTCCCAAGGCACATGCCTGACTCTTCTCTAGCCCACCTCATGCCCTGCTGAGGACAATAGGGGTGCAGGGCACACACTGGGAAGGCAGGCCTGATCCCTAACTGGGGAGGTGTTTGGGGGCATGGTGTGCCTCCTGTTATCCAGCAATCATTCATTAATCTAGGGGCTCCTCTGTGCCTGAAGGGTGCATTGGGGCGTCAGAAGTGAGAGTTCACTGGTCTTTCCAGAGCAAGTGGCCCCACAGGGTGATCAGCCCTCAGTGCCTTATGGAAGTGTGGGGGAAGAGGATGGCTTCCCTCCACCCTTCTAGATTCTTGGCTGGCCTACAAATTAAATTGACATAAAATAGTTGAACAAAACAAAAGAGAAACTATACTTAGTGACATATGTCAGCCTTGAGTCCCATAAAATATGGGGCTCTAAGAACTTAAGAGTGGGATTGAAGCTTCTATAGCATCCAGAGACAGCAAGGAACTAGGGCTGGGGTTTCTGGGGCTGGGGGAGGGGACGAATTGTGTGGCGAGCGAAGGTCGAGCAGGGAAGGTCTCTCCAGCAGCCAGCAGTCCCCAGCAGCCTTCCTCCCAGGGAGACACTTTACTCTGGCGGATCCCCTTAGAGACGTAGATTTCCCTAATGTGTGAATTTCTTTTACAAAAGGACCGACCGGGCGACCCCAGAGTCTGCCATTTCTCAGATCAGCTCAAACCTGGGGAAGAAGTCTATCTTGGGGTGACAGAGTCTGATCTCCTACAGTCAGATTCTGGGGTGGTGCGTCCTGGGCACCAGTAGGGAAAAGGCGGACTCTGTGTGTCCCCAGAAAGGAGTTTAGCGTAAAAGACGCCCAGGTCCCCAAGGTGGGGCTCAGCGCTCCTTCGCAGGGTCAGGGCCTGCGAGGCTCGGCGTCCTTTCGCGGAAACC